TTTTTTCAAATATATTGTATATTTTTATATCTTAAACTATTAAAGTATTTTATATTAAATATTTAATAGCTTAATATGCTTCGGACAAGAGTAAAATAATAAACTAAAAATATTTTAGAAAAGTTTGAAAGAGTCCTTTAACAAAAAGTAAAAGATGAAAACTGTTATTTTTAATCATATAAGTGCCCATACCTGAAGAAACTCTCTGATGGTGTGTAAAATACTGTAACTTGGTTATAAAAAACACATTAATCACTTGAAGAAACATTGTATGGTATTATCTATAACTTTATGATTTGCATTTGGAGGTTGTTAAGATTCCAGACATGCAGTTTAATCAATAAGTTGAGAACTAATATTTATACATAATGCATGAACTTAGCACCACACAAAAATCTTTCTTGCCCTCTAGTTCGCCAGAGACATTGAATCCTTTATATCCAGTCCATCTCTCCGGTGATTATAGAAAGCTCTTTTTTTAACTCATAAAAATACAGTAGCTAATTCCCTGCCTTACCATTTTTACTGCTTCCCAATACCGCCCAAAGAAATATCATTAACTCACACTTTCTTTTTCTTTTCTTTTTTAAGAAATGCCTCATAAATCGTCCAACTCGACCCAGCAGGCTTTGAGCCGGCCAATTAAATCTATTGACTAACCGAGAGATGTTCCCTGCATGTAGGAGAAAAGAAGAGTGGATGGCACATTGCATGCATTTGATGGTGTACAATCAAGCTTATAAAAGTTCTTTATGACCTTTCCGATGACTGGTATGAGCGTGGTAAATGGTTGAAACCTTCAGGCACAGAGTACATATTACACACACATTCATGCTGTAGCAAGGCCTCCTGGTGGCTGTAACTATTGGCAGGTGTGTTGGGGGACGGCTTCCCACCTCTGCAGCAACAGAATGATTTGCACCTACTGTACAGTATGGAGCTTTTCAATCCACAGCCCCCTACTGTGTTTATTAACTCTGCTGCTGACACTAGTTCTGCTTTTGCCTTTAAGTTTAATATAAATATATATATATATATATATACAGTATATATATATACTCACAGTGAAAATGCTTATATTTTTTGTTTTTGTTACAAGTGAGAGTATCAGCATAACAAATTGTGTAAGTTTGAACTGGAAAATTAATATGAATTTCTCTATTTCTTGGTATTTAGTTTGTTACCTTTTTGGTTTTATAACAGCAACACTTGAGCTGACATGAACTCTGCAAGTTTGTGGAAAATCTGATGATTATGTTCTCCAACATGATTGGAAAAAGATACAAAGAACATCTTGTGCTGGTGTTACAGAGAATTAGTAAATATTATTAAATATTTATACACACACACATATATATATATATATATATATATATATATATATGT